CTCTCTCTCTCTGCCCCTACCTCACTCACACTCCATCTCTCTCTCTCTCTCTCTGAAAAATAAACAAACATTAAAAAAAAAATTTAGTAGGATACAAGACCTAGACATTGTAAAAAAGATTGATAAATGTAACTACAGTAAAAATAATCTGCATAGTAAACACCGTCTCCCCCAAAAAGGTCAAAAGACAGATGACAAACTGGAGAAAAACATTCAGAATTCACATCATAAATTCCTTAATATGTGAAGGGCTCCCGTAAACAGTACGAAAAAGACAAGAGCCCAATGACTAAGACGACGCAGTTCACAGGAACGGACGACGTCTCTTGAACACGAAGCCCCGTGCAGCCTCCCTGGGATGGGGGAACGTGAGTCACCTCCCACAGACACCATTTTCCACGTGGCTACGCGCCCAGGACACACTCGGCAAGCGTGCGCGAGCAGCGCCTCCTCGCTGCAGGAGGCAGCCTCGATTCTCTCTCAAAACCACCAACGTGCACGCCCGGGACGAACCTCTCCCGCGTGTGTCCTCACCCCTGCACCAGGAGGGGCGGGTGCTCCTCCCCACAGCCCTGCAGACGCGGCGCGACGCGCGCAGGGGCCCAGGAAGGACGCTGGGTAACAGACCTAGCGGATCCAGGCCGCGACACACCGAACTGTCAAGAGGAGGCTCTCCCTCTGGACTCCCTCCTGGTCCGCCGGGCGCGGGGCTCAGAGCCCAGCTCCTCTCAGCTTCTCCGTCACACGGAAGCCCTGAGAATACTTTCCTCAAAGGCAGCATCGGGGACCAGCCAGACAGTGAAGGGGAGACCCCCGCCCCATCTTCCAGACGCACCTAACCTCTCCGGAGGTGTGAGCGGCTGTGAGTGCAGTTTCTCGGCTTTTCTGCGGAAAGGCCCTCGTGCGCTAGCCTCCCCTCCTCCCGTCCGACGGGCTCGTGGGACCAGCACACCCATCGGGCCCCCTTCCGTGGGAGAAGTCCCGTCTGCCTAGGCTTCAGGCGACCTGCCCCGAGCGGCCGGCGGGGGACAGGCCCGGCCCGCCCAGCCACACCCGGGGCCAGCTGCCTCCCTTGGAGAAAGCTCGCACAGAAGGTGACGCGAATGCCCACGGAGAGGGGCGGTGTGCCCTGCGGCCCTCGGCACTGCTCAGCGCATGAGAGGAGGCGGCACACCCCCCCGGGCCACGCCTGTGTTGGTGAGGCTCTGATGTGGATGCTACGAAGAGAGAAGGTGACCTTGGCATCCTTGTACTTTTCATCGGGGGTGGGGGGGGTGGAGGTGGAATTGGCAACACACGTGATTTAGTGCAAAGAGCAGGGTTCAGAGCCTCACCTGTCACTTCCCTGCTCTGTGATCTTGGGCAAGTTGTTTAACCTCTCTGAGCCCTGGTTTCCTCCTGCCCACTCAAGGACACTGCTTCAGCAGCTCCTTCCCTCTGCCCACTCTCGGCTGTGCTGCATCACTTGCACGAGCGTGCACGCTTGCTGACGGCTTGCTCATCTTCTAGAAATACCTCTCTGGATCCCACTTGCCCAGCTAAGGCGGCCTCCATTTCTTCCCCCCGTAGAGCCGTCCTGTCCCCTGCTCTCGAGTCCAGCCCTGGCTGCCCGCCTCCACCCAAGTGCACTGCCGTCCCTGCCCGCGGGGCACCGGGGACGCTGGACGGTCCCTCCTCCTCGGCACGCCGCCCTCACAGGGTTTCCAGACACCAGCTCTCCCGGCCGCCTCCCCCCTCCCTGCTCTCCAGCCGCACTCGCCCTGCGGGAGACCGGCCCCTCCCAGGGCTTGAAATAACACCTACTGTTAGACGCCCCTCAGAGTCGCACCCCGAGCCCAGGCCTCGGTCCCAAACTGCAGATACCTGCGTCCCATCATCTCATCAGCACCCGTCGTCGGTTGTGTGATCGACGTGTCCATCTCAGTGCGTCCGAGGCCAACCTCCCGGCGCCCCTCCCGCAAACGTGCCATCGGCCGGCCTTCGCCGTGTGCGTGGCCGGCCCACCGCCCCGGAGCTGGGGCTGCGGGACCGCACACCTCTCCGCTCGCAGGCGGCACGCACGGCGGTCGCCGGTCACCGCTGCTGTTCCGCGCACGGAGGGAAGACGCAAGGACGCTTCTCGGGAAAGGGAGTTGGGGGGTGGAGGGACACAGACCAGGTCCTGGGGAGGCAGCCCGGGGGCAGGGCCTCAACGAGCCGAGCCGGCAGAGGGCGGGGGGAGGGGGCCTGCTGGGGGCAGGACCCAGGTGCCTGGACCCAGCACCACCTGCGAAAGGCCCTGGCCCTGCCCGGGACTGCAGACCTCTCCGGATCGCAGGCCCAGAGGACGGGAAAGCGCACAGGTTAATTATCCAAAGGAGGCCCCTGGGGCTTGGCCAGAGGGGGGTCTGAGAGCTAGGAGCCCTCCATCACCTGCCCCGCGCCCAAGGGCCCTCTTCTAAAGAGGCCTACCATGGTGGCTGTGAGTGACGTGACACTCAGCACTTCCCAGCCCAGCCGGTGTCCCCAGGGAGGCCCCTGCTCCAGAACCCGACGGGCCTCAGGACCAGAGAGCATCACACTGCTGGAGAGGCGGCTGGACCTTCCCTGCCCCACCCGGGTGTCAAAGGAGCCCCTGGATGGTTTCGCATTCCGTCAGGCCTTCATTCACGTCACCCTGCAGGGAGAACGGCCCTGGCCACCCCCCACCAAGGTCCCTGCTACAGGCCTCTACGTCCACACCGTTCCAATCCCCCCAACCTTCCTCTTCCTCCTCAGTGCTAGTGAGCATCAGATCACGTATGAAGCTCACACCTCGCAGACAAGCTCCTGTGGGGCTGGGAGTTTTGCCCACTTTGCCCATTTTTGCACCCACGACTGTGAGAGCAGCATCTGGGACACACGAGGAGCTCAAAATGCTGTTTCAGGCGGCGCCTGGGGGCTCAGTCGGCCGAGCCTCTCTGACTCTTGATTTCGGCTCAGGTCGTGATCTCACGGTTCAGGAAATCAGGCCGCACGGCGGGCTCTGAGCGTTCGGAGCCTGCTCGGGATTCTCCAGCTTTCTCCCTGCCCCTCCCCCACGGCAGACGCTCTGTCTTTGGAAGGTTGGTACCACGAGCCCGTTAGGCAGCTGGAGTCTCTCGGTCTCTCTCTGGGATTTACATGTGGCCATTTTCAAGCTCCTCTTGGGGTGGAGTCTGGGTAGCCGGCCCCACACAGGCCCCACAGGGCTCTCCGCGGACTGGACGTCTGCAGCCATGAGCAAACAAGGGCAGAGCCAACGCGGGAGAGGCTGGCGGCAGCTCCGCAAGCACGCGCCTCGGCGGGCCCTCCTCACACCCGCGCTCACAAGCAGTCTGTTCCCGACTGTTCCCGAGCCTCACGCCCCGTACTTCTCTTCAGTACACCTGGGGTGGGGGCCAACACTTGGCCAACACACACACGCACACGCACGCACACGCACGCACATGCACACGCACACACACGCTGCAATTGGGATGCAAGCAGCCCCGGTGCTGCCTTCTGAGAAACCCTGATTCTGGGTGAGGCTAGAACGCAGGTAGACACTGGGGGCAGGAAGAAGTCGCCCTAAAGGGAAGTTCAGCAGCTGAGACGGGACCTCGACAGACAAGCTGTACGTGCTTGTTTCGAGCCGGCTTGCTCTGCAGAGCGGAAGGGACCTGAGTCACCGGTGTCCAGGCTTCCCACGCCCTGCACCCCGGTGCCCAGAGAGCAAGCTCACCAGAGCCGTCCTGTGGGGCTCCCGGCTCCCGGGACAAGAGCCCCCTGCAGGGAGAAGCGGGGGGGGGGGGTGTCCCCCCAAACCTGTCCCCTCCAGCCTCTGCGGGGCCCCTCGCTCCTCCAGAGCGAGCTCTCCGCACCCCTCTGCCCTGCGCTTCCTGAACAGGGTCTTAATCCCTTCTCCAGCCCATGGGCTGTCTGTGTGGGTGTGCGGGGGGAGCGGGGTATTTTCTACTTCTCGCATTTTCCTTCTGAGCTGGGCTTTCGCTTCCTCCCCTCGTTCTCAGTTCTGTCTTCCGTGGGCCGCCCAGGCCTGGCGACCGCGGCGCGCGTCCCTCTGGAGCCCGAGGGAAGCAGAGACGAGCGCAGGCGGCGGCCCCTGTGACGCCTGCGGCCACGGAGGAACCGGAGTCCGGAAGCCACAGCCGGAACGTCCGGGGGCAGGTGCCCTGGGCGTGGTGCAGGAGCGGGCAGGGCGGGGCAGCTCCATCTACCTCGGGGAGTGGGGGTCGGCCTCCCCCGGGGCTGCCCGCATCCCACCCCAGCCTCCGCCTGAGAGCGGGACGCGTGAGGAAGGCACGGAGGCCTCGGGGAGCGGCGGCCACCGGCGGGGTTAGGGGTGTGCGCTGATGGGGGGCCGTCCGTCTCCTCCGAGCAGCACGGGGCACCACCTCACCCCCAGAGTCGGGCTGAGGATGCCTGCCCAGGACAGGACCCGTCTGTTCCCAGGAACCTGCAGGCTGCCCCTCCAGGGCGCCCCGAGACCGACAATAAGCGCGTGGAGAAGCGGTGGCCGAGCCCGGGCGCAGCTGGGCGGGCGGCCGGCCCCGCGCGAGGGCCTGGCAGCGGGGGGCTGAGCACAGTCAGCAGAAGCAGAGCCCTCTGCCCTCTGCCCTCTGCCCTCTGCCCCGCCCGCCCGTCCTCCGGCCACGGCGCCCCGCTCGGGCTCGTTCCCAGGGCCCGGCGCCCTCGCAGGCGGGGCTGTGACACGAGCGGCCGTACAGCCGGGCGGCGGGCGGGGGGCAGAGCCGGCGGCGCGGCCCCCAGAGCGGGACGGCGAGAGCGGCGCTGGTGCCCCGGACGCCCGGCGGGAGCCCACCCCGCCGGGACCCGCGCCCCTCGCGTCACGACCCCCGGGGACGTAGGGGAGGAGGCTCTAGACACCCCCCCACACACACACCGCACGCCAAGTCCGGGTCGGCGCCCGCGGCACCCCCGGGGCCACGCAAGAGGGGCGCCGCCGCCCGCCCCCGCCCCCCAGGTGCGCGCGGAGCCCTTACCCGGCGCGGAGCAGCCCCCGGGGGTCAGGGCGGCCCCCGGCGCGGCCAGCAGGGCGGCGAGCAGCGCGCAGCGCAGGGCCAGCATGCTTCCTCCGCGGCGGACGCGCCGAGGCCCCGGGGCGGCGGGGCCGGGCGGCCGGGCGGCGGGGCGGGGCGCGGCGGGGCGGGGCGGGGCGGGCTCAGCCGCGAGCGCGCCGCCCGCCCCCCGGGGCCCCCGCCGCGCGGCCCGGGCTCCGCGGCGGCGCGACTTCCCGCGGCGCGTGACTCGGGCCGCCGAGCGTGCCCGCCGCCCCGGGCGCCCTTGCGAAAGCCCAGCGCGTGGCGCAACCGGCCGCCCGGGACGCCGCTTCCGGCCGCGGGCGCCGCACCTGGGCGCCCCCCCAACCTCTCCGGGCCCCTGTGGCGCGCGATTTCGACTTTTGGTTTCGAGCCCGGGACTTTGTGTGAAAGGAGCACCTGGGCGAGCGAAGGACTGAGCGCGCGGGCGAAGCCGAGTCCGCGGCCCGGGGGGCCCTCGGAGCCCCCCGCGGAGCCCTAATAACCACCCTCAGAGATTCCGATTTGAAGGATCCGGGATGAGGCGTGGGCGCCCGAACCCTGCATTCTCCCCGCCCCAGCGTGCAGTCGGGGCCGGGGGGTGGGGGGGCGGGGGGCAGGGGTNTGAAGGAGATGACCCCAGTCGGGGCCGGGGGGTGGGGGGGCGGGGGGCAGGGGTGGGGGTGTGGGGGGCGGGGGGCCGGGGGGGGGCGTGGGGAGGGCTGGGGGGGCGGGGGGGTGTGGGGGCGGGGGGCTGCCCCCTGCAGACCTCCCCCCACTGCTCTTCCCAATCTCTGGACCTTCCTGTTCCCCGTCGGTCGGCCGCCGGGTCAGGGTGAAGACCCCGACGATGGCTGCACACGCGGCGCGGGTCTGGGCGCCGAGGATCAGCGGCGTCAGAACCTGACGTCCACCCTCCTGGTCTGACTGACAGAAACGGGTTCTGAAGCTGAAAGGGTGGCCTCAGAGCCCCGGTGGAAGGGGTGGGGGTTGGAAATCCTGAAATAAGGTCTAGGCTGAGAAGTTTCTAACTGCTAATTAGAATCTGCTTTTCCACTTTGGGCTTCAGGCGGCTCCTAACGCAGACCAGGGTCGGGGGGCAGCCGGAACGGGCCTTTGCGGACCGGAGCCCCCAGGTGGGCGGACCCTGACACGGAGGGACAGAGCTCCTGAAAGCGGCCTGCACAGCCCACGCATCCGGGTCTCTCTGTGGGAACCATCTGAGGACCAGCTCTCACCGGAGGGCACCCCGGGGGGCAGTGGGGACACCCCTTTTCTGGCCCCCCAGCCCCCTTCCCCCAACCGGGGCGTGTTCCTGCAGTCAGTCACCTTTGTCTCAGGGGAGCTGAGGGCTGGACTGCGTTCCTGCCCGTGCCTCTCACCCTGGACCTGAGGCTGACCTCTTAAGTCTGCCCCCAACCGGGTCCGGGCTCCGTTAGCGCCCTCCCGGAATACGTACATGCACTGTTTTGAATCCAAAAGGTACTCACTCAGGTCTGTTCCTCCGCCCCTGGGCCTCAACAGGTGAAATGGTTCCCCAAAGGCAAGAGCCACTCAAGACCCCTAGACCCTAACTCAAAGGGGTGGTGTTATCTCTTTCAATTGCCCCCCCCCCTCCAGGCTTGGGCTGAAGTGTCGCCGTGAGGGTTCAAACAATACCCTTTGTTCTCGGTCACCTTTAGGGCCAATGACCCTAAGTGCTGCTGGGTGGGTTGGGTTGACAAGCAGGCTCCTCCTCTGACCTCTGGCCCTAAATTGTCAATTATTGCCAGAAAATGCGTTTTATTTCCCCAAACCTTCCCCTCCCCTTTCTCGTCAGCCTCGGAGGAGGGTGACTGTGTGGGGAGCTGGGGGCCCCCTGATCAGCAGAACTCAGTGCCAGGCTGGCGGGGCCCCTAGAATCAAGCCCCAGACAGGCCCCGGTGCCCTCAGCCTCCCTGGGGACACCTGCCCACTTCCACCATCAGAAGGTACGCATCCCCGGCAGGGCTCGCCCGTGTGCGGCCGGCCCCGGGGACCCCCTGCCGCAGACCCCGCCTGCCGCTGACTCGGGGAAGGGACTTGTCACAAACGGGTTATAACGTCTCCCCATCTTGTAGTATCTACAGAATGTTATGATTATGTTAAATTAAATCTGGACTTCTCGTGTGACCTTGCCTGTCGTTCTGGGGATTCCATACAAAGGAACTGAAAGCAGGGACTAGAGCAGACATTTGCACACCCATGTTCAGGGCAGCATCACAACAGCCCAGCGGTGGGAACAACCCCAGCGCCGGGCACGCATGACCCGATAAACAAAACTTGCTCACTCCCTGTACAAGGGAGTATCGTTCAGTCTTCAAAAGGGAGGCAGTTGCACACACACCCGAACACGAATGAACCCTGAGGACGTTATGCTGAGAGAAATAAGTCACAAAAGGAAAACACTGTGTGATTTCACTTGTAATCAAGAAGCCAGCGGTTCATCACAGCCACCGAGTCCGGCAGCGGCTGCCAGGGACACAAGACTGCGCGTCATTGTCCAATGTGCTCCGGAGCTCAACTTCTGCGACATGAAAGGCGATCTAGAGACTGACGTCGGTGGCGGCCGCAGAGCAGTGTGAGTGTGCCCAGTGCCACTGGACCGCGCACTTAAACGTGGTTCAACTGGGAGCTTCCGGGCTGGTTGCCCATTGGGGGGGCGTGGCGCCCCAGGGCGGGGGAAGTTCCTCGCTCCCTCCCCTCCCTCCCCTCCCTCCCCTCTCCTGGCTCCTGAGTTACAGCCTTTGGAAATCAGCCTGTGAGCTAGTGGCAGGTTCCTAACGGTGTGGCATCCACAAGTCACTGTAAGTGTGACAGTATCTCGGGCAATTGTTAAAGAGCATTCTCTGTTCAAGGATTTCAAAACACTTTTCTAATGTTTTTAGAACTCCTTTTGTGTTACTGAAGGCTCATTTTCTAGATCATTCCTAATTTTCATGGCACATACTCTTGGCCAGTTTAATTTTTTTATTTTTTATTTTTTTCAAGTTTATTTATTTTCAGAGGGAGACAGAGAGAGCGAGTGGGGGAGGGACAGAGAGACAGGGAGAGACAGAGAGACAGGGAGAGACCGAATCCCAAACAGGTTCCTCACACTATCAGCATTGAGCTGAACGCGGGGCTCGAACTCACGAGCCGTGAGATCATGACCTGAGCCAAAGTCGGGTGCGTAACAGACTGAGCCACCCAGGCACCGCCCCTAATTCAGTATGTGTCTAGAGTCTGCTACCTTGCAAGTGTTTCTTTTCTTGTAAGAAAATGATAAACATAAAAATTATATATTTTTAAATGGTAAATATTCTATTATGTACATTTTACGAACTTTTAAAAAAGCATCACTATCTTAAGGTTAAACAAAGTAGGAGCGTGGAAATTCAGACACACAAATAGATGCAGCTCGTAGAAGAGGGGAGGTGGCTCATCCCATTTTAAGGGTGTGATGTGACATTCCTTCAGAGGGCAGACTTCCTACATGCAACATACAGTAGAATTCTGTCGACACAGACTCTGAACCCAGACCGCCTGGGCTTAAATTCCACTCAGCCACTGTGTGTCCTGAGGCAAGCTACTCGATGTCCCTGTGCCTGAGTCTCCATCTGTAAAACAGGGGAAGTAACAGTAACTTGTTGAGATTCTTATGAAAATTACGTTAGTTAACATATGGAAAATGTTTGGAACGATGTTCGGTACATGGGAAGTTCTAAATGAGTGTTTGCTAAGCACGTGTAAACATGTAAACTTCCCAAAACACATTCTTGCTAGACAGGGGACTCTATCTGGATGTTTTAAATGATAGCCCATTATATGCCCCATAAAATGAACAGGTCCAACTAGAACTTGGCCGTGAGGAGCTCTGGGAGGCCCCTCCCGCTCATGGGTTTAACAGTGCTCTGGATTCCAGGACAATTTACCAGCCGACCTAACAGTTCCAGCCAGTTTGCTGCCGACGCCACCAGTGATGCCACGTTGGGCCTGGGGGCCTGTCTGCCGAGCCCCTTTCCTGGGGCATCCTGGAAGATGCTCCGAACTTGGATCCGCCGTTGGTGTTTGCACTTCCAGGCGGAGGCTGCTTCACACTCTGAAGTCCCACAGAACGAGGAATGAGGAACAGTCACCGTTCGCATTGCTGGTCGCGTCCATTAGCTGGCTCCCTAGCACCCACCATTCCTGTGTCCGCGGACTCCAGACCCAAACTGCCTGAGTTCAAATCCAGCTGTGCCACTAACGTATGTGTTTCTGGGGGAACGTGAAATGGCGCAGCCTCTGTGCAAAAGATTGGAGGTTCCTTGGAAATTAAACACAGAGCTACGATTAGATCCAGGAGCCCCGCTCCGGGCCCACGCCCAGCAGAACTGAGAGCAGGGGCTCAACAGACAAGCTGTATGCCCACGTTCTCAGTAGCGCTATTCGTAATAAACGGTAAGAGAGAATTCTTCCTGCCTCGTGGCCTTCAGACCTCCCTCTGACCTTGAATGAGAACATCAGGTCTTCCTGCGCCTCTGGCCTGCTGGCCTTCAGATTTGGACAGAATGCCTCTGGCCAGCTCACCCCGCCGAGATCAGCACTTGTCAGCACCCAAAATCCCGCCAACCAGCAACTCACAATAAATCTGTCGTGTATACTAATAAATTATATAATAAACTTACATAGAGAGGCGCCTGGGTGGCTCAGTCGGTTAAGCGTCCGACTTCGGCTCAGGTCATGATCTCACGGTTCGTGGGTTCGAGCCCCACGTCGGGCTCTGTGCTGACAGCTCAGAGCCTGGAGCTGCTTCAGATTCTGTGTCTCCCTCTCTCTCTCTGCCCCTCCCTCGCTCATGTTCTGTTTTTCTCGGTCTCTCAAAAATGAATAAATGTTAAAAAATAATAAAAACTAAAAAAGCAGGCACGTGGATGGTTTAGTCAGTTGAGCGTATTTTGAAATACGCATTTGAAAGCAAACAGCCCGGCCCAGCGCGTGCTGACCTCTTGCGTGAGCCGCCACTCGGACGCAACGGGTGACGAGGTGGCCAGATGTCCCACACGAGACCTAAGTGTCAGCTCCCGCCGGAGACCCACGGCCTCCCGAGTTCAGTGCAAGCCGCCCCGCGCCGCGCCGCAGCCGGGCCCTGTCCCCCAGGCCCCCCAGACCCCCTACGGTTCCGCCGGAGGAGGCCTGCGGTTCCGGGAGGAGGCCCAGGAAGGCGAGGGCAGGCGCCACCGTGGGGAGGCCAGCGGGGAGCCCTGGGGAGCCCTGGGGAGCAGCACCCTCCTCCCCGGGTCCTCCAGAGGCCGGGAAGGGCCGCTCCGCGGGGCTCCGAGCCGGGGCGGTGAGGAAGCGGGTCTGCAGAGCCCTCGCGCCCACGGCACCCCCGGCAGGGCTGTCGTCCCCGCCGGAGCAGAGCGCAGGGGCGCGGAGCTGGGGGCCCGGGGCGCGCACGCCCCACACGCGGCTCCCGCCCCTCTTCGGGCAGGGGGCACCCGCGGCCCCGCGGCTCCCTCCTGGGAGGCTGCGGGATTCCTCTCCAGAACACGGAGCAGCCGCGAGCAGACGCCGGAAGACCCACGGGGCGGGCGCGGGGCCCCCGCCGGCCCCATCTGCGTGCCCACCGCGCCCGCAGCTCGGCGTCAGCGCTTGCCCCCCGCCCCCCACCTGCCCGGCGCCCGCTCGCTCTGCCCGCTGGGGGCCCCGCAGGCGGCACGGGGAGGTCCGGGCGCTCCTCAGACGACGCGACCCAGTCGCCCCCACCCTCTGCCTTTGTGAGTAAATCCTCCCGGAACTATCCTGGTTCGAATGAGCCGCGTGTCTACCGCCGGCGCCTCACTGACGCGGCCCCTTCTCAGGGCTGCCAGGCAGGCGAGAGCGGGCAGCTCGGGACGGTTGGTCCAGGGACAAGGCTCAAAAAAGGGGCCACGGCCGGGGCCTGGGGCTCAGGCGGTTGGGGGTCCGACCGCGGCTCAGGGCGTGACCTCGCGGTTCGTGGGTTCGAGCCCCGCGTCGGGCTCTGTGCTGACGGCTCAGAGCCTGGAGCCGCTTCGGATTCTGTGTCTCCCTGTCTCTGCCCCTCCCCTGTCTCTGTCTCTGTCTCTCTCTCAAAAAGTAAAAATAAATAAATAAAAAGCATTTAAAAAATTTAAAAAAAGGAAAGGATCACTACTGTCCCCGGGGAGGTATGAGGTGTGGCTGCTGGAAATTAAAACCATGACAACAGAGGGCGCCTGGGGGCTCAGTCGGTTGGGCCTCCGACTCCGACTCAGGTCATGGTCTCGCACTTCGTGGGTTCGAGCCCCGCGTCGGGCTCTGACAGCCCCCCCCCCCCCC